AATCTTTCGCGATACTTTTCGGAGTTGAGGTCTGGACGCGGAGTTGGAAGCAATGCCCGCAGGGTCGGTGCGGCGGGCAGGGGCAAGGGGCTGCTCTGCTCCGGGCGTAACGAGTCGCCGCTATCGCCCATAAACAGCGATAGTGTTAACGAGGAGCAAAAGGGCAGGAAAAGAGAAGGGCCCTACTTCTGAGAGACAGCTATTTTTCACCCTAACCCCTCTGAATTTCGCTCCCGGCTGATTTATCTCGCCAACCCCGGCGCTCACGAACTCGCCTCTCGTCCTGACCGCGGAGTTCAAAGCGCTGACCGCGGGCGGGGGGGGGGGGATCCTCCCGGCGGGTTACAAGCGGAGCTGCTGAGGGGACTCGCCGGGCGCTCTTTTGGCGGAGGGAAGGGGAAGGGCCACCGGGGATGGGCCGGCCGGGCGCCTCCAACCTGACGCCGCTGCCCCCTTGCCTTGCAGGCCCCGTGGTCCTCAGCACGCCGGCACAGCTCATCGCCCCCGTGGTGGTGGCCAAGGGGACGCTCTCCATCACCACCACGGAAATCTACTTCGAGGTGGACGAGGATGACCCGGCTTTCAAGAAGATCGACCCCAAGGTGAGTGCGGCGGGCGGGCGGGCCCGGTGCCGGTTCCCGCACGCGTGTGCCCGGGCCGCCCCCCTCCCTCCAAACTCCGCTCCCGTCTGCCGCCTCTCCCTGCGTTTATATATATATATATACACACACACACACACATATATACACACATATATACACATGTGTGTATATATATGTATATATATATATTTAAAAAAAAAAAGAAAACAAAAAACAGCAATGTATTAATGATGTTAAATCCTCTATTACGGCAGCGTGCGCGTTTTCCAACAGCCTTTCGCTCGGTGCCTTTGTATGAACGTGGTCAGATTTAGCAGTTAAGCCAATTGCTCTGAAATCCCTGGAGGGAGCTGCAGTCCCAGCCCGCAGCCTGGCCGAGGCAAAGCGGAGGGTTTTACCCCTTCCGAGGGCATGGGAGAATCCCGTTATTTCAAGAACGTTAGTTTCCATGTAAGAATATACGGCGCGTTTGGTAAACACTCTGACTGCTGAAATGCAAGTTAATGGTTATTTTCTGGGGAGAGAAAATAAAATAAAATTAAAAAAAAAAAAAAAAAGACAAACAACAAACCAAGGAGGGAGGGAGGGAGGGGTGGGGTGGGGGGGAAACAGGCATGTACCCAAGACTTGATTCCTGGGAAAGCTCTGTTTTTTTCTGAAGTCATTTGCTACTACCAATTCCCCAGCGCCGCCCCCCCCCCCTTCCCCACCCCCCACCCCCCCCCGCGAAAACCTCCAGCCCAGCCGCAACAGAGCAGGGGTGCGTGACTTGAGCAGAAACCTTTGCGTGGCTTCCTCCCCGCGGGAACGGAGCGGGGGGCTGCCACGGGGGGAGGAGGGAGCATACGGAAGGGACGAGGGTTACAGGGCGCTCCTCTCGCCTGCATCTCCTTTTATTCATATCACTGTTGCTTCATTTCTTTGTTATTGCCCTGTGAAATGTTAGAAGAGAGAAAATAGGGGAGGTACCCTTACAAACACCTTGGGTGCTTTGGTTCTGGTTGTTTTTCGGTTTGTTTTAGGTTTGTTTTGGTTTGTTTTTTCCCTAGATAAATATCATAAATAATTTCCAAGAAAATACTAGCGACCTCGTCTGAATATGTTTGTAATAAGGCGATTTCTCTTTGATGATTAATTTCTCAAACTCGGAAATTTCTTCACAGTGCTGGGGGGAAAAAAAAAAAAATCTGTCAGAATTGCTGGGTCTAACGGTTTCGTTAAAGTGCACCCACTGGAAAGAGTTGCTAGTGGGTGTTACACAGGCGATCGGCCTCTTTCAGCACTTGTTGACTGTTTAGGGTACTAAACAAAACCCGCGTTGTTATTTTGCATTTTGATTTTAAAGCCGCTTTAAAGAAATGCATACTGAGAAGGACCAGGCGTTGCAGTACGGATGGGCAATTTTGGATCGCTTGCAGTTTTGTAGGCACGCACATGTTATTCCCTCTGAATTCCCTGGGAGAGCAGGGGCTTGATTTCTGGGAGTGCAACTGGCAATGTTATCACATTCATATCGGATTTGTAGGTCAGAAGCATTATTGTTGTTCACTTTATTGGTGCCGGCTTGAACCTTTCACCTATAAATTTTATTTTCTTCTTTATTACTACTTGCGCCAAAATGCTAGTTTTATCAGGCTCACTGCTTACTCAGTACACTGACTGCTTCAGGGCTGTGTTGTGTTTCCTCAGCTTTGTTTGAAACCGAGCTGAAACACATCAGTGCCGTATAGTAGAGCCTTCGAAAATAGATTTATTTTCTGACGGCTGAAAGAGTGTTACTGCATTAATAACTGCATCGGTGTCTGACAGTTGCTGATGGTCATCTGGAGCTAAATTCTACTGTGTTTGTACCACCAGTATTTCCCTGTTCTACAAAACTATTCAAAATGCAAAATCAGGCGGCTGCCCTTAAGTTTTCTGCTTTACTGGATTTAAGTAACTGTCCACAGAAAGGCAAAATTCACAAAACATAGCTGCCTCTGCTTTTTCAAGTAGAAAACTTAATCCAATATTGAAACGCTTACCCATATGCATTTTACTTCATTTATTAGCTTGTAATTAAATAAATCAGCAACAGAAATTAAAATCTAAATCACAAAAGGTAATTATCCAGTGTATTTCAAGTGCATTTTCAAATATATAATTCCAATATTCAAGCGTTATTATATAAGCAGAATCCAAATTTCTTTTGAATATATTTAAATAACATTTCAAGTATATTTATGGAATGTTAGAAATAGAACAAGCAATATATATGAAACGAAAAATGTAAACTTGTTAAGTTCAGACACTTCAAAAGACAATTAACAAAAGTACCATGATAAAATCTACCTTTTTAAATGGTATCTTCTCTTTAGCAGAAAATGTCCTTGAAGTATCCAAAAATGGCAATTTAACTTCTGTTCACCAAATCACAAAACACCAACATCCACAATTTCAAAGACAATGTGAGATCACAATATTTGATACAAATTAAAAGGTACATTAGGGTTTGTTCAGGTGGCATATCCAAATAGCTTTTACTCACAGAGGGTTTACATAAAAATACCGAGTTTTGTTATAATCCGTTGGTACCATTTCTAGGCAGAATGGTAACAATCACGTTAAATTACGGCCAATTTTCCTTTCCAGGTAACATAATTTTTTTTTTTCGTTCTATTTTCTTTCTCTTTTTTTTTTTTTTTTTTTTTTTTTTTCCTTTTCCCTACGGGGAACTGCGAAACTCTGACGAAGATAAGAGGAACGGTACTTGCTGTTCTTATTTGCTTTTCTTTTTGAAGAGCCTAAGCTATATTCCTTTTTAAAAGAGAATATTATTTGCATTGTCAAGTGGAAATATTTGACTTTTCGAACAGGCAGCCTAAACTTCATCGGGAAATAAGCAGATTTATCGGTCAGGTGGATTTTATAGTTGCCCTCTAAAGTTTCTCCAAACTTTTCGGGTTGGTAAGTATTTCCCTAGCCAGTCGCCACGTTTGTTTGGCCGCGTTTTCCAGGGCCGAGTGAGGTTTGCCCTGAAAGAGGTCTAAATTGGGCAAGAAGTAGTGCGGGCACCTCCTGCACTGGAGGCAGGAGATGAGCTGCAGTAAAATCCCGTTGAGCCGGTCCCCCAGGCACGACTCGTCCCAGTCCGATTCGCGGGGATGCTTTTCGCATTCGTAGGAAACCAGAGTCTTCATGTGATAATTATTCAGGGGCTGGCCCGGCAGCTCCAGGTGACGGTCCCGTAAGGTTTTGAGGATGGAGAGGCATTTCTTCCTGCAGCCGCCCATCTGCAGTCTGTTCTCGGCTTCCGCGAACTGCAGCACCCAGGCATCGCTCTCGGCCGAGCTCTGCTTGCCGGCCAGCGAGTGGCACTCCTTGGATAAGAGGTTGAAGCCTTCCGCCTTGACCTCCGCCACCCTGTTGGGTCCCGGCCAGGGGATGTGGGGGAGCGGCCAGTGGGCAGCACTCCGCGGCCAGATCCCCGTGCATTTGAACGCCGGAGTGATCTGCACGACGTACCTGTCCCTGATCCTCAGCTTCACTTCGCTGGTGTCCGCCACCATCTTTACCACGTCTCTGTAACTGCACTTATCCACGGCTTGAGCCACCAGAGTCTGAAATCTGGACCGGATTTTGCGAGCGGAGAGGTAGCCAGACGCCGTGATGAACTCCACCCAGAGGGACATACTCCTCTTGCGCCCGTCGCTTAACTTTAACACAGCGCAGCCCGGCAAGGAGCCGTCGTCCACGAAGTTGAAAACCCCCATTTGGTTCAGATAGAGCACGACTTCAAACTCCGTGGGGGAGATGACTTCCAACCCCTCGTAGCGATTGTCCATCTCGTTCAGGGAACTGATGAAGCGAGGCTCCTGCACCTCCACCTCCTTCAGCACGTCCGACACCACTTTGCAGACTTCTCGGATCGTTTTGGCGATGGCAGCTTTCCTGGCTTGGCATTTCTCGTTGTAGTATTTATTCAGATGATACACCAGCTTGGCCTGGGCCGCGATCATGTTGGGGCAGAGATCCGGATTGTATACCGGAGTCTCGCAATAGGCTGTGGGATCCAATGCGGCTGCTAAGGCTGGAGCCAACTTCAGAGGAGAAACAGGCTGCCGCACTCTGAAATGTAACAAATGTTTTGCAAAATGCGCTGGGGCTGCTGCTCCTCAGATGCTCTCTTCCTGCTTTTTTAGATCAGCCGTCTTGAAGTGTGTGTGGCGGGGAGGGGGGGGGGTGGGGGGTGGGGGGGGTAGGGGGTGGGGGGGGAGGAGGGGGGGGGGCGGGCGGGGGACTGGAGGGGGCGATATTTTTCCTCCCCCTTTTTTTAAAGGGTCCGTGAGTGAGAGGAAAGCATCGAGAGCTGCACCTTCCCCAGCAGCAAGAAAAACAAAAGTTGCACTGAGACACAGCGAGGCTTCCAGTAGTCAAAATAATAAAACCTCTTCGTATTTATTTACGTTTTCCCGTAGTAATCACTCTGTGTGTGCAGGGTGGTTAATCAGAGGGTGGAAAAAAGTGCCGTGTGTGTGTGTGTGTGTATATGTCAGAAGAAGCTGGCTGTTGGTTTGTATAAGAGCCCAGATGCACTCGTGTGGAAATTATAAAGGCAGGGCCAGGCAGGCGGGCGGCCAATCGCCACTGGGCTCGTCACTGCAGCCTCTTTCAGCTCAAACCCGGCTAATTAATCCCTCTCTAGGAGATAGATATGTATACACAGACACACACGCACACACGCAGGCACGTATAGAAAAGGTAGAAGGTTACTGGCAGAAAACCCGCCCCGGTCATCTGTACGCTCGGAAATCAAGAGAAATCCCTCTCCTTTGGGTGTAACTTGAAGGGTATTGACGTTTCGAAAGGACTTGGCAAAACTGTGCCGCTCCGCACTGGCTCCCTGCGTGCCTCCCCACGGCCGAGGCGGGAATGCAGGTGTATTAATGGGCATCCAGCAGCTAGGGAGCTCCAGACCCGGCTCGCTCCCGCAGGAGCAGAGGCGTAAATTCATTAACTCACACTTGGCGTCACATCACGCTGTCCTTTCCTCCTGCTAGTTGTCTGTAACTGCAAGCGAGAAGTTGTTGTGTTGCTTTTTTATTTTTTTTTTTTTAATTTTTTATTTATTTTCTCTCGTGAACCGGCCAGTGAACAAGGCAGCAGATTCACGGCAAATTTAGTGTCCTTTGGAATAAAGTATTACGCACAAGTCCACGATTTGTATTGTTTTAAAAGATCTTTTGACGGGCTCTAATCGATTTTGAGGTTTAATGCATTTCGGCATTGTCTCTGCCTTGCTTTTTGTGTTTGTACCTTATGAAGGGAGAATCAATCGCTAAATGTATCTGTCAGGTCTTTTTCACATTCCCTCCAGAAACCAAGTAGCAGATATGAGCGGTAAATCTCATCTGCCAATTTTAAGCTTCGTTTTTATATTCCGTATAGCGCTCCAATATGTTCTGAAGCGTGGATGTTCAGCTGCTTTTTGAGACGCACTATAAGTATCTATTAATTTCAAACCTGGACGATTTATCGTATAGAGAGCTCTGCTAGCAAGCTGCGTTTAGTAAATGTGCACACGGGAGGGATGCTAGCAACTGCAAACACGCTGGCATGCTACTAATCTGACAGTTTGGGGTTTCGTGTGTGTGATGTGTAATTAGCAAATTTCGCCTTCGGTACTTTAAGTGTTAGTAATCAGGACCTTTATTTGCAAATAAGTTGGAGTGGCAAACTCTTCTGCTTTGCAGCATTTACTGAGCTTCGCTTCAAGAGCACCCTTTTTTTTAAAAAAAAAAAAAAAAAAAAAAAAAAAAAAGCAAAGCTTTTAATATCTTGGAATCGTCAGTCTACTGCCCGATTACTAATTCTTAAAGTAACTGTCACAGGCATATCTATCGCTAAGGAGAAGTCATACCGCAAAGAACATTTCACGACATTTATTCAACGTCTCGATGCGACCAACTTTATTGAGCGTAGCAAAGAATTTCTGACTTTGTGCATGGCTCGCTCGAACTGGCGCTGACACGGGCGCTCCCCGTGCCGCTTCCTAGGCGGCAGCTGATGCGGGAATCAGTTTCTGCCCATCAGTAAAGCAAGACCGGGGCTGTTTTGGGGCGCCTCGCTGAAAAACTGCAGGTGACAGGTCGTCCCGGAGAAGCTTTTCCTCTTCTCGGCCGCAGCCCCCCCCGGCCGACGGCGGAGGGGCGGCCGCTCCCTGGACTTTTCGGCCGAAATGGAGCTCGTTTCCTCCCGGTTCTTCTCCCTCCTCCGGGTAGTTTCCCGGCCGGGCGGCGGGCGGGACACCCGTGGCTCCCCCCGGTCCCGGCGCCTCCCGAGCCGCGCAGCCGCCGGTCGCTGCCGCCGTCCCCGCCCGGGGCCCGGGGCTGCCGCCTCCCCCCCCCCCCGTGACGCCACCCCCACTCCCCTTCCCGGGGCGGCGGCGTGCGCGGCCGCTCGGCTGCGGGCTCCCGGGGGGCCGGTTCCCCCCCTCCTCCCCCCGAGCAGGCACTTACAGGGGTTCTCGTCAGCGTCCGAGGGGACAGGCGGGCGCCTCCCCGCCTCTCTTACCGGCGGGTGCGGGGGGACCTGCCGCGGCGGCGGGGGCTGGCCCTCTTTCCGCCCCCCCCCCCCCCCCCCCCCCCCGCTTTCCGCGGGCCGCAGCCGGTTCGGCGGCACCGCCGCGGGCCCCGGCGGCCGGGAAGGGGGAGGCACCTCGCCGGCCCGGCACAACAGCCCCCCCCCCCCAACTGGCCCCGCGGATGGGGCCCGGGACGATTCCCCCCCCCCCCCCCCAACCCCCCCGCCCGCCCCTCGGGGCCGGGGGCGATGCCCTGTCCTCAGACACGGGCGCGGCGTTGACCGGAGCGGGACACGGCTGCGTGGCGGAAGGAAAAGCGGCGAAGTTGGGTCCAACTCCGGCGGCGGGGGGGGGGGGGGGGGGGGGGGTTCCCGGGGACCGCCCGGGGCGGGGGAAGGGCCCGTGGCGGTGCTGGCCCCGGCCCCCGCCCCGATCCCCGCCCCGGCGGCGGCTGCTCGGCCCCGGCGGCGGCCGGCGCGAAACCTCCGGCCCTGCCTCGTCGGGGGCGGCTTCTTTGCGATTTAAATAAGAAAGAGCTCCTTCCCCGGGAGGTTACAGACCGGCGCCGCGTAAAAACGAAAGTTAAAGCGGGCGGACAAAAGGTTGTCCCTTCCTCCCGTCCCCGCCGAGGGAGCAGCCCTTGCCCGCGGAGGGGGCACCCCGGCCCCGTCCAACTTCTCATCGCTTCAGCTGCAGCGGAGCGACACGTTCACGGTGGAAATGTTTCGCGCGAGGTTTTGTTTGGTTTTGCCCCGTGGGTTTTAGCTCGGTAAATCCAGTTGCTAATGGCAAAAGGCGATAGGTCGTACCTTTAAGCTGTCAGTAGTCTTAATTTTCATAAGGTGGCAAAATGAATTTAAATAAAAATCGCGTCCTGTATCCTAAATCAGAGCTTTCAATATATAATGCTCAGATTAGCTTATGAGTTCTAGTAGTGCAGGTTATATGCATTTATTGTATCTTGGTGCCTATGGGGAATATTAGCCTTAGTCTTGGCTGGGTGATGTTTGGCACTAAAGGTTGCTGTTGACTGCACTACAGCATTTCATTTCACACATACACCATAAACATTTGATAGTTTGAAAATTTCTGGATTTAGGCATCGCTGACACCAGTCAACCACCGAAATGTAACTGCTGAGGTGACCTGATTGTTTCACATGACAAGAAGTCGGTGCTTCGGTTTAGGTTCCAAAATGGTTGTCTGATTGACTACGTATGATATCAAATATTAATATTTTCAAAGCTTTTGACCACTTACTGCAGTTAGTTTTTCTCTGTATTTATTAATGTGCCCTTCATAAATTATAAAAGGAAGGAACACCTTTTCATCACTGAGTTTTATTTTTATATGTATTGAGTTGTTCTGGAAAATTGAGATTAAAATCACCTCATTAAAATGATGATTGATCATTTGTCATGGTAATGGTACCATATGATATTGGTGACTTTTACCAAATTACTGTTTTCTAGATATTTTCCCCTAATTAGGGAGTACTATAGCAGCATTTGTTGAACTCTGCTTGTTATTTCAAATCCTTCAACCTACAGCGCCTTGTCACGTAGTGTTCATGTTAGCCAAAAAGCCAAATGGTGTTGAAAATCTTTGACTGCAGGTACTCTCCCATCCCCCTAAAATGTAATTTAAAAAAAAAAAAAAAAAAAAAAAAAGTTGACATATACAAATTTCACCAATAATTCCCTTTCATATGGTGAAAAGTATGAGTTAAAATGCACATGCAGATGTGTATACACAAAAAGTGCTTGCATTGATATCACTTTATATTTCTTATTATATAGTGAGAGTTTTTCCGCACACAACTACTCATGAATTTTAAAGTTTTATTTTTTAATATCTGCCTATTGCGCTAGGGAGCTGAAAAAAAAAAAAATGAAGCTGAGCTGATTGAATTATTTATCCCTACTGCTGAAGTGAGTTTGAAGGCTCATTGAATGTATCTGATTTCTTGGCTCTTCCTTCTCCCCTCCCCCCCTCAATTCATCCTGGTTATTTCATCCATATCATCCTGCCAGCAACAATAAATTTACTTTTTTTCAAGTAGGAAAACTAAAGACAGATATTTGTGCTGGGTTTGCTTTAAGTGTCAGATTATATAAAATACACAGCATTATTTTTTTTTGTGACAGAAGTTGATGGTACCTGCAATTTTCTGTACTATTATTTGTAGTTTACTTTTTCACTACACTTTCAACTTTAGGAACAAATGAAAAGTTAAGTTTAAATCTAAGTTGATATCGTGTTTACAAAAGTTCAATTTTAATGACGTCGCACATTTCATTACTTCGATTTTTGGATATAAGTTTCTGTATAATTAGGTATGCAAACATTTTCATTCCATTATCTACAGTTTTCTGCAAATGTTTTCTTACTTGCTTTGAAAAAATGTGATATAGTTCCTTTTCGCAGCACACAGCATTCATTAGTACTAAACTTAACACGTGTATGTGTTCTCTTCCCCTTAAGAATAAAAATAAAATAAAACCAACAAACATGAAAAGAGTTTGCATTAGTATTGGACATTGTCATCCAAGGTCTTAGGGATGAACTGTTAATGCTTTAAATTCCTCTAATCTGCAGTTTGTTAAGGGAAAAAACAGTAATAGATTTGTTTTCTTTAAAATGTTACATCTCAAAAGTAAACATGGATCTTACACAAGTTTAATTTTAGCTAGGACTGCAGAAACATTCAAGCAGGGAAAAAAATGCATTGAATTATTCATTTGGTTCACTTCTCCATCAGCTTCTCCAAAGCCAGACATTCCTTAAAGTACAGCGTTTTATTTAAGCAGTCCAACACTATTTTTTTTTTTTTAAAAAAAGATCTCCTGCTTGGAGAATGCTCTTTTCTACTGAACTGCGAGAGGAGCATGGAATCAGTGGGGATTAGCGCCTTTTAATCTACTACATCTGTAGTGGGTCATCCAACACTGCAGAACTCTCATTATTCTCTCATGCTGTATATGATTAAATGACTGAAAATATTCAACGTTGACCTTGAAAATGAAGCTGTATGTGTTGGATGAGCAGCTTCCGAAGACTTCATCTCTAAACTAACCTTTCCCCTTGATAACTTCTAGCCCAGGAGTACGTTGCCTGAGAGAGGACTAGAGTGTTAGCAAATGTAAGTCGAAACTGAGGTGTGGGAGCATTTGAAATGCATCATGATTTAAATTACGGCATCACTCAGATCGTTCATGCTATGTTTTATGAGTAACCCAACATCTTATTAGCCCAGCTGAAATGGGAGGGTAGTATGTCTTGAACATACTTATTTTTGTGACTGGCATTTTTCTGTGAGATGGTTTCATATCAACTAGCAAACTACATCATCTTGTAGGTAGCTGCTAGAGCTGCTGAAATCAGCAGAAAACATGTTGCTTAACATCTTTTGAACACTAGCCTATATAAAGCTATAAGTAAGCATCATCTTTTCGTATATATTTTGTCATGCTATATGTTGCTAATTTTCATGCTGCCAATACTTTGGGCATGTTAAATCCCTCTAATGCAAACCAAAACTTGTCCTCTCCCCTTACAATAGTATTAGTCTGGTGCAATACCAGGGTAGCTCACTTTATCTCGATTTAGCTACAAAAAGACATGCCTAACGTATTTTGATGCAGACTTTTATTTTTTAATGTGGTGTATAGCTCTCCGATATTTTCTTTCCAAATAATGGTGAAGGGAGGAGTTGAGTGAGTTGGTCGCGAGTGATTAATATGTTTCATTGAACCTCGTGAAGGCCCCGATCCTGCCAGTGCACACACGGTTAGCGAAACGTTCAGCTGGTTCTGGTGAGGCCGCCGGCTTCTCTGGGCTCACAGTTAAGTGCACGAGCAGTTATTTGCAGGATCAGGGCCAAAGCTGGGTAACGCTTGTAGGTTAACATTTGAATAGGATGAAACACAGTGTGCCTTTAAAATACCCAATTCATCCAACACAGGCGTTGGTGCAGAAATGTATTTTTGGCCCAAATATCTAGTCTCCTGTCAAGCAGAACTTCCATATTAATTTCATTGTGTTCTAGCGATAGTATTGAATTAGCTTCCTGACAAAGGACAGTTCTGTTTTGTCCATATTTTAACGAGATGCTCCCACCAAAATGCTTTCCCTAATCTGCTCTAAAGCCTTTACAAGGAGGGTGAGGTTATTCAAAGAAATGAGTGAAAGATTATGCTTTCAAAATCTCTATTAAAACTGTATTTTTCATGTACTTTCGCATATTCAGGATTATTTCTATAACACCCAAAAGGTACAGAATCTTTTAACAGTCTTAAATATAAGCAACCTACTTGCTAAAAACACTTATTCATTGTTCCTAAAAATATCCTAGCTATAACTGTAATATAAACACGTCAACCAGCTTATTATTTAAGGAAGTAGGGGAGAGATCTGTTCAGGAAAAACTTGATACTTAGATTAAAATGTATTGATATTACCACCACCACTCTGAACTTTTTTGCCTGAACTGGTGGAACACTGTAATTGTAGAGCACGATATTTTATATAGGGGAGAACCGAGTCTCTTATTAAGAGCAGCAAATCGCTCTGGTTGTTCTCTTACTTGGGTGTGAAAATTTAACCTAGATCACCTCCTGCCCTACTTCCTACTTTTCCCCACCATTTTTTCACCCCAGCTCTAGGACAGAATGTACAGAACTGGATCCTTCGCGGCACAGTGCCAGTGTCATTGAAATGAGAAAGATCACAGAAATAACGCACAGTCCTGTAATTTCATAAATCTCCAATACGACTGTTGAAAGAGAAATACTAGCTGCTTATGGAAGTATCTGTTTATCTTAAAAGAATATTACTATTGACTTTTCTTAATAGTAGAAATAGATTTTGCTTTTCAGGCACATTATAGTTTATAATACATTAATGCCACTGGAAAGAAGAAAAAAGATTATAGTGTATCTGTTAGGGTAGTGACAATGTTTTCTCTTAAGCCTCCTTAGTTTTAGATGAGGCGAAAGAGATATGTTTATTATTTCACATTTCTGAATCTTCTTTATTTACAGTTTCAGTTGATACAGAATCTTTTTTTCTTTTTGTCAACACTGGGTTTAGTGGTGTGGACTTAGTTATGTGACTTACTCAAAATACATGTCAGGAATTGACCGTAAAAATATTCTTTATTACTTTTTATTAGTGGTAGTTTTAAAGTTATGCAGTCTGTACAGGCCTACTAAGAGAGAGGTTACTGTGATCAACATGATTCTGTCTTATTTTCAGTGAATGTTTTACCATCTGTATTTCTTGCTTTCTTCTGCAAAATATTTCCAGTAACGAACTGGCTAATTTTGGCTTCAATTTTTAAAAATAACCTTATCAAAAGGAACAATTAACAAGTGCAGAACTCTTATTAGCCAGAGCTCTTACTGCTCTGAAGCACAACAAAGTATACGGCATATGCTAGGTTGTGCCGTAATGCTTGCAATTTTCAGCTACACTTCAAGAGATTGCTGCTTTAAGTAGGTAAAAAATGACAGCAAGTATGTTGGACAGTAGTTTCTTCATGATATTCTGTGAGTACATTCATTATGTATTATTAGTCCTTAACTGTAAAGATGAAATAATATAACCATTTATCTTGGCAAGCCCATTATTTGTAATTTGTACCTTACAAAATTGTGTGGATCTGCGTGGCTGTTTTCTTTGACATGTACTATTCAGATTTTTGACATAAGGGATGAGAAAAAACTTTGCAGGTTAAATTTATAACTACCCTAATCCACTCTTGGTAGGCGAACTGTGTAACTCGATGGGGTGAAAGAAGTCCTCTCTCTCTCACCCCCCAAAATTCAGTTCTTCATTTGTTTTGTTCACCACGCTGCATTAACACAGTTTTCCCTTGTGTGCATCTGCCAGTGTACAATTTAGCCACGGGCATCTGTAGACCTTGTGGTGATCAGTATTGCAGGCAAAAGCCATATGTGTTTAAATAAAAAAAAAATCTCTTTATTTCATTTGCTGTTTTAACTGGATGGATAACTTTTGTGCCTCAAGACAGAGGAAGAGAAAATACAGAAATAATTAATTGCCTCTATTCTTGAGGCAGTTTCATTTTCCCTCTCCAATATGGAATGCTTGTCAGCTTCCCTGATAAATGACTGCATGTATTTGCATAGATTTTACATTAACACAAAAATTAGTTTTATTTGTGAAAAACTAGTTTACATAATAATGCAAAATCTAGAATTATGGATTACATTTCCAAATTTGAGGGACTGTGGAGAGCTAAGCTTTTCTTCTTTGCTTTTATTTAAAATTCTGTCTGTTTGTTTGTTTTTAATGCCAAGGCATATT